ATGGTTTTGTTATCAGGCTTTGATTCTTTCTGCTTGATTTGGACTTGAGTCAGACTCAATCATACATTTGCTGACTTTACAACTCAACTTGGACTTCAACACCAAAAATACTTATGCTTACCAAAATTATGACTGAATTGCACTAGAGGTGAAAAAAAAACACAAATAACAACATAAATTTAGTCACTGATGCACCTAAACAAATTCCTGTAAACTGGGAAACACCAGTACTACAAAGAAATTCACTAGCAGAGTGCATCTTCATCAGCAGCTAAGCTGCAGCAATTAACTAAAACAAATTCATAGAGAGTACCATACCAAAATAAATGTATAAATAAACAAATTCTATTTTACACCAACATGACTGATCATATCTGCTGATCAGCAGTAGCTCTTAAATACAGTTTTTATGTTGCTCATTAATTTTGCCTAATCAAATGGGATTTTACATGACAAACAAATCAACTTACAGCTATTTTACATACATTTGCAGCATCACCACAAGGCCTGTTAAGGTTATTGCTTCACAAAAATAACATATTTTCTTTACTTAACAAGATTTTTGTCTCAAACATTCTGTTATATATAAACAGAAAATGTTTAAGTGATGATTTGTGTGATTCTAGGTCTCAGTAGCAGTAGGCCTGGCAGGGTTTGTCTGTGTGATGCTGGTGGTTCTCCTCCTCCTCATCAACAAGTATGGACGACACTCCAAGTTTGGATTGAAAGGTAAGAAGCCAATATACCACTTAATCCCTTTGCACAGTCTTTCTGAAGATTCAGGCTCAAAGTGTATGACATGAATGAATCTTAAAGGTGTGGTATGGTGCTGTTCATGATAATACCAGTACTAGTGGAAGCAAAGACTGAAACTGTTCACCAATATCTTTATACTGGACTCTACAGTGCAATTATCTCACTTGCATTTGCCCCTAAAAGTAGATGTATGCAGAAAGGTTATTTGGTAGCGCAGTGTGTAAATTAAGATTACAGCAAGACTATACAAGACACCACAGGGCATTAATATGAAATGATGGCTACAGAAAGTAAGACAGCCAACAAACCAATCACTCAGTAAATCAACGACATATTATACAACTATAGCAACCAGTTAACTAGGTCTTTTGAGGTTTTCTGTGGCCCGCACAGAAAACAGGTGCACAAGACCCATCTAAGCAGAGAGAAGTAAAAGGCCAATTAAGAACTTAATCAAACCACATGTTCAAACAATGCAGTGTGAAGGAGACATGATTTACAACACAACAAAGAAGCTAAGATACTAAAAGCTTTGTGTGTATTAGTAATTATGTTGGTTTGTCATAAATTTGTTTAAACCCATAAAAACGTATCTTCTGAGACAATCCAGACCCCCATCTCCAGCAGCAGGGGGAGGAGGAGAGAAGACAGATACTGATTCATATCTCACACCACTAGAAGCTATTCTCCAAATCGTGTTTTAAGTTAATTTGACCTCATGGATTTTCCTCCAGTTATCAATATGTTTGTGCCAGATCATATATTTTATCCATGGTTTACATTTGATTTCTTTAGTCACTACCGACTATTGTCCAGTATTATACAGTTAATGTGTCGGGTTCAAGTTACTCAGATTTGACAACAACTTTAAGCTTGATAAATGTTATTATTTTATGTAAATTGGTTGGATATGGTTCCAAGAGTGGGCCCTATTTCACATCCCATGCAAAGCCGTCCAGCAAGTAACAATAATCTGATCTAAAGACAATGGTGCAGTATTTAAATGTTATTTATATTGGTTTTTCTTTGGGCATAGGGAGGTCTGTTTCATTTGCAGAAACGTATGCTCTCGACTATAGGAGCAATCTATTTAATTCTGCAGTACTGTCACACATTGGTTGAGTAGTCTATGAAATGCTCCTGTCAGTAACACAACTCTCAGATGCACTTTTCCACCAAACAATTACATAATAACTTTGTGTGTTTTAACCAAACCACCTTGGTGCACCATGCCCCAAAGAGGTAACACACTCACACACACACACGCACAGCATTTGAAATAAGATGGAGCCAAGAATAAGACTGATGATTTCATTAAGTCTCAATAAATCCTCCTCTTCATACACTCTGTTCCTCTGCTGGAAAGGGAAATGATGTGTGTTTTCTCCTCAGAAAGAATATTGTTATCTTAATCCAACATAATCTGCTTTTATATCCAACAGTCCAGAGAGGACTACAAGATATCTATCTGTCTGGCTGCTAGTGTCGGTCTCCCTTTCCATCTCTCTTTCTCTTTGAGCTTTTACTGAGTCTTTCCTCTGGAGCATAAGTGAAAGTGCATGACACATCATGCTCTACTGGTATATATGTGCATAGACTCAACAGCTAAAAGAAGTAGAACTTGTGGTATAGGTTACTGAATGCTTTGGATTTATACAAGATCTGACAGTGTACCATAACATTTATTTATGAGCTGCTGATGAGGTTGTTTCAGGTGTAGGAGGCCGAGCTCGGGTTAGGCTTCACCATTGTTAAACTGCTGTGAAGCTTTTCAAAGGTACTTGAGTTAAGCAAACAAGTTATTTTTGGCTAAGATCACAGAACTAAACAGCACTTGGCAATACCAATAGAAAATAATTACACTGACATAGATGTACAGAACTGGCCTCCAGACTGTAACATATTTGTATAAATATATGTAAGAACCTGCTTGGTTTGTGCAAGGAGGTCTTTTTAGGAGTTGAAATCCATCAACACCATTGCTCTGTTTTTTTCTATTACAGCAATCAATTTAAAAAACATAAATTGACAATGATTTACTGTTGTGGATAATAATTAATTTTGTCATTACAGCTCCTACCACCGACCTGACATAGAAGTACAGTAAACCATATATTTAGGGGTTTTTTTGAGAATCAAAAATTGGTTAAAAAAACATTATGCTGCAACATTGTCAAAACAGGACTCACGGGCAGGTCAGTATGCCTTTCATTCTAGGAATGTCAAATTCGGCCACTTTGTCTACCCCTCAGTCTCTCCTAAGCTGCTTTTAGACATGCATTCTGAACTTCGCAGATCCCCCATATTTTCTTCAGAAGAGGTTCATGTGTGACAAAAAATGGTGCACTTTGTCCACCTGGCCTCCTAGTATAAAGTCTATAGAAATTCAGGAGAATTCAATGAGTGAATCCAGCAGGGAATCCCCCCGTGGGGGGGTTGATGACACACAACAGATGCAAAAATGAAAAAGCAGTGACACACATAAGATACAGATGATGTCAAGAGAGTTTGTGGTGTTAAAGGGATAGTTCATCGAAAAATGAAAATTCACTCATTATCTATTCACCACTATGCTGATGGAGGGGTGGGTGAAGTGTTTGAGTCCTCACACCAACTCACCACCGAATTCTTTGCATTTTGCAAACTCAGCACTGTCTCCAGAGCCGTCAGTGAGGGATGCATGCAGTCATGAAGCTGTGATGGCCAGAACCACCTAGGCAGTATAATATTTCTTGCATGTTGTTTACTCTCGTCTACATGCCACTGCTTTGCTGTCAGCCTCTGTCCTCCCCTATTAACCCCCACCACTTAAGCCCTGAGCAGCAAACCAATCTCCAAATCAGACAGCTAGACTGTGAGAGAGGAGAGTGTAAGATGAGTTGACATTCTGCCAGTCTTTATAATTTAACATCACAGTGATCGAGCAACACACTGGGTAGCAAACAAGTAGCATAGGCAGATGGAGTGAAAATAGCTCAAGTGCAAACGGGGACAACAAGAAAGGACTGAGAGGTTTTTTTGTGGGGATAATGTGTTTTTTTTCTTTGGGACTGGTGTCACCACGGCATTGGATAATATCAGGGTTGGAGAACGTCTGGCCGGCAATTCAATTCATGAATACAAAAAGAATCCCTGAAGAGCAACTAAAAGTTTCCTTGGTCCCACTGGTGCACCTAACATTTAGCTGATCTGTTTGACTCTCCTCTCCTCTGAGTCAGGGTGCAAGGTGGAGTTTACATCCACACAACCAACTCACTCACACACAGAGACAAGAACGATAAGTGTGAATACAGGGTTTCTACAGCAGACTGCCAATGATGAATTATTGGCTTTTTCAGGATCAGAGCAGAAGCAGTAGTGGGTTTGTAAGTATCAAAGTCTCCTGTATGAGTGTCCTCCCTCCACACTCCTGCTGATGTGCCCTCACGTTACACTTGCACAATGACCTGAACAGTACTGAAGTTTACTTTGTGTTTTGAACATTTTGTGCCAGTCAGTTTACCTGCCACACTCAATACAAGATCCACGATCCAACACCAGCGATTAATAACTAAATAAATGTGATTGTCAGTTTGCGAAGAGCGAACAGCAGACACATTCACACAAACACAATCCTATAGAAAATGCTGGAATACTAACCTAATACAATACAAACCTAAAAGCTCATGTAAATAAAACCATTCCATCTTGTTTACTGAGCTGGTAATATTTATTCAGGAGCAATTTTTGTTAACAGAGCCAGAGAGTCAATTTAATTCATTGTTTTGGTTGTGTGTGGTTTATTTTATAAATGTTTTATTCATTAAGGATATTTTTATATTTTTGATTGTAATTAAAATGTCGGACTGAATAATCTTTAGAATTAAAAGTAAGTTCATTGCTCTTTGCTCAAGGTTGTAATGATTTACAAATATATTGCTTACTTTTTAAGATTAGCCAGACAAGTCAGTGGCTTTATAACATATTTTTACATTTTTCAAAAATGAATACATAAATCATGTTATACCTCTTGTTTTCTGATGTCATTCCCTTGATCAGTTTTGTGGATTCTGCCTCTCGCACACACTGACCTACACAGACGTACTCATTCCTTGACATATCTTCTGATGCACAAACTTGAACACATCATCCGTGTTGTAGCTTGGAGTCATTGGGTGTTTTGGGTCTTACAACAGAAACCTCTAGGTGACCAAACCGAGGTTGAGTAAGCCTCTGCCTGTGCGGCATTCTGTTGCCTCCACTTGTCAGTCCTTCAAACAAAGCCACCTTGATCAGGGATGGGAATTGATAAGATTTTTTACGATTCCAATTCCATTTTCCATTCTGCTTAACAATTCAAATCTTTATCGATTCCTTAATCGATTCACATTTGGAAAAAAAGGACAACAAACAGGTCGATTAGCATCAACTTTGTTTAGTTAAGAAGTAACATAATCATGACCTCACAAACCCAACAACAGTGAAGTCTTAAGAGGCCCACAGCCTAGGGCTCCTCGATGGGGTGCCAGGGGTTCCCCAGAAAAAATAATTTGTTTTCAAAAATAAATATAAAATTTTAATAATAATAAAATAAATATTCTTCTGTAGAAATTAACAAAATACAACATAAATTATTCTGTGGCAATTCCACAAGAATGTCCAACATTTTTCTAATAGAAATTAAAATTCTCCTTTTTAAAAGGATAAATGAGCTGAGCACTCAAAAATAAAACTACCTCAGCCAGTGACAAATACAATCAAGTAAAAGCCAATGGAACTGTGCATTGTGCAAATCTGCAACCATCAACTATGAAATATTAACAATTCTTTTGCAGAAAAATAAGCATATCTGCTTTTTCAGGAAGTATACGCGATCTTTCTGGACTTATGGTGTCTCCAGCTGTGGAGAAAGCCCTCTGAGACGGGGTGGAGGACGCCTGCACACACAGAAAGCTTTCAGCCAGTCCTGACATCAGGGGCAGAGACTCTCTCTTGCTCCACCACCATAGGGTGGCGTTATCCTTGCAGGGGATGGGGGGCAGGTTTCTGTACAGCTGGATCTCCTGATCCACTCTCTAGGCCAGGGAAAGGAGGGGTTGTCGTTGTTGGAATGACTCCAGCTCGTTGTCCTCCTCTTCAAAGAGTTCATCCAGGGCTGTCTTTTTCTGCTTTACTGGTGGCAGCGGCGCCTGAAATTAAATGGACATAAAAGCGAAAAATCACTCAATAATCCATGACATCTAAATGATCATGACGATGAGCTAAACTTACATAGTCTTCTTCTTCCTCCTCTTCATCTTCATACCCCTCCCTCTCTGTCTCTCCTTGCTCCGGGAGCTTGAGAAGAAAGTGACAAATAAACATAAATAAATCTAAGTACCACATAGCCATGGATGAAAAGTCTCTCTCTCACAATGGAAATGTGCTACAATCAAAAACATTGTCAAATTCAAATACTTCATCTGCTGCTGCCTCTGTGTTTGCTGCCATTGCTGCTTCCCTGATCCTGTCCCAGACTTCATCCTTATCCACTTTGGATTTCAATCTGGGGTCTAAAATGGTGGCCTCCTCCAGGAATCTCTGGATATCAGCTTTCTTAAATTTCAAAAAGGAGGAAAATGTGACATCATGAGTCATGAGTGACTATCCTTAAGTATTTATTATAACTGTCATTTTATTTATGATCATCAATTATACCTGGTAGTGTGTGGAAAGATCTTTCCAAATGTTCTCCTTGATGCTCCTTGTGAAGGCAGAGTCATCTTCCTGCACGGTGTAGTGTTGCTGTAGCTTTTGTAGGATGGGCAAAATCTCTCTACAAAAACTCCTCTGCTTTTCTTAGGTCCTCATTGCCCATTTTGGCCAGTCTGCAATATAAACAAAACAAAAATGCAAAAGATATATGTTGCATAAACAAACAAAGACAAAACCTGAATCCAAGTTTAAAATAAGCCACTATCATTATTTTTCAATTTTTCTCACCTTTCCTTCTTCATGGGCTTTCTTATCCGTGGGTCTATGGCTGCTGCCTGGATGGCAGGAAACTGCTCGCAGAATCTCTCCATCATCAAATATAGATGGTCTTTACATCCAGGAGGAGCATGTGCTTGGGCAGCTCTGAGGGGTAACATACACAACTTAAATGCTTCTGTAATATTATGCTTTTAATTTGATCATGATATAATAATTTACATGTACACATTTCTATGTTGCCTGCAATATAAAGAAAGTATTTATCTTAATGAGCAAGTCTTGATTCTCCTTAAGGGCCACTTTTGCCATGTGGGACCTCTTCATCCATACAATCACAGACCGAATTCTTGCTGCCCAGTTGGAAATTGCAGAGCAGTTGTACAGCTTCTGAGCTCCAAGGTTCAGCGTATTTGCAAAACATGGAAACTTGACAATTTGTAACTTTTTCACAGCTACATCCATGTTTGCCGCATTATCCACCGTGGCTGCCACAACCTTCTCTCTGACACAAACACCATACTCCTCCAAGATCTTATCAATCTCCTCTGCTACAGCTGTCCCTGTCTGTGTTTGGTACACTGCTTTGGTTTTGAGGACTTTTTCTTGAGCCTGGCCATTCCTGACATAATGCAGCGTTACTGTGAGGTAATGATCTTGACTAAAACTTGTCCATCCATCAGCAGTGATGGCTGCCATTGACACATGTTTCAGCTCAGAGATCAGATTTCCCTTTTCAACAGCATACCAAGCAGGGATCAAGTGGTTAGTTAAACTGTCTCTGTTTGGGGCTTTATACTTAGGGTTGAGAATCTTTGTCATCTCCCTAGAAAATATATAATGGGAATGAATGACTGAGTGAAACATCTGGTTAACTTAGAGGAAAACATGCAACTTTGACATTCTCTGACTTAGCATACAATTTAACACATTCACCTACTGAAATTCAGGGGCATCTACTGTGGAAAATGGGTGCAAGCCTTTTACCACAAACTTAGTCACTGCTCTGTGACATTCGTCTATCCTGGCCTGGGTCATTTTACTCTTCCCTGCTTTGGTGAAAGGAGAAGCTAGAGGTAGACGTGAACTGGAGGTAGTACTGCCAGCCTCTGGCTCTGAGCCAGTAAGACTCTCGTCGTGATGGTCATCTAAATGTAATGCACAAGAAGGCATTCATTTAACGTTAACCGTTACTAATAGCAGGTTTTACAATGAGGCAAATTGCGCTAACATGATAGGCAGTTTGTTAGTTACCTGCAGTATTAGCCGAGGACATGCTAACGTTGCTGCTGCTGGGTTGAGATTCACTAACGTTAGTCCGGAGCGGATCGAAAACGCAACATTCATTAATAGTTATTGCATGCTGTGATGTTTCTGCCTGTTGGTAGTATTTCCTCCCTTTGATGAAATATCCACTTTGCAAGTATTGCAAATTGCCCTGTTGTCGTCTTTTTTAGTGAAGTGTAACCAAACTCTCGAGCATTTGTACCGCTTGGGCGCCATGTTTACTGTTGACTGCTGCCTGCACTGGACTCGCCACGCAAGTTACGTGGTGACGTCATTCGTGCCCACTGGAATCGAAAAGGAAATACCAAGGAATTCAAACACTGGAAACCGGTTCTCAACAAGAACCGGTTTTCGATTCCCATCCCTAATCTTGATGCTCTCTCATCTGCCTCCGTGCTGTTCATGGCCCTCGTCCAGCTTGCACTTGTGATGCCCAGCATTCGATTGGGCATTGTTTAGGGAATGACCTGCAACCCCCCTGCTGCTCACCTCCACTGGCAAGCACATGTTCCTTCATCCATTTCATGCTCAACTGTAAAATGACACCATAAAAATTACAAAAATGGGACTTTTTGCTGCACAATGTTATACTTTAGCTCTGTTGTTTTCTCCAAAAATCAGCAGTGGTCAGTAAAACAGGATATTTGTCTGTGTCAATGTTTATTATGATCTACTGGCAAGTTTATTTTCATAGTTTCTAGAATTGCATTGTGTAATAAGATTTTACTTTTATCTTATTAGAAAACTATTTTTTTTCATCTGCAGATATACAGTCAGTCCATCTGACAGTAATTAGATATTCAACCAGCCTGTACCACTTCTCTTTGTCTTCCTAGGACCAGTAGCAGTGATAAATGGTGAGGAAGATTCTGCCAGCCCACTTCACCATGTGAACCATGGGATTATCAGCCCCTGTACGCTGGATGCAGGGCCAGAGTCTGTGGTGATCGGAATGACCAGAATCCCTGTCATAGAGAACCCACAGTATTTCAGACATGGATACAACTGTAAGAAACCCACCACCTGTGAGTACACATGGAAGTCTTTCACTGATTTTTAAAGCTGAGTGTCAAGTTTCATTCTCTCGGCTGAAATGTTGATATTTGCATAGTGTAGCCTACTCTAGCTCGCTATTTAGCAGTGTCTTTAGAGTGGTGTAAATCAGTCTGCTATAAACATAGCCCAGATGCTGCTAAATGGCAAAACACTTGACCAGGCAAAAAAAAAAAAAAAAACATTTTGGTTAAAGGGTCTGTGCATCACAATAAAAAACCCCTCCACTGTAAGCCAGAAGGGGTTAAACTAAGACTTACTTTTTCTAGTATTTAGAGGAGTTTTTTCCACAAATGCTGGCCTTTTTTTGAAGTTATGGCAGTATGTATTTCAATGTTTCTTGGTTGAAACAAACAAACAAAACAAATTAAATTATTATGTTGAAGTTAATTCTAGTTCTAACTTTTGACAAGATTTGTAACTTGGCTGAATGAAGCCTTTAACCAAAATGAGAATACAAACACAACAGACCCCTGGCAGACAGTGTGAAGGGATAATAGAAAAATTATTTTCATTATGGTAGCATTAAACAAAGATTGTAATGGAAATCAACTCAATCACTCTCTCTCTCTTGCAGACGTTCAGCATATTAAACGACGGGACATTATTTTGAAAAGGGAGCTGGGAGAGGGAGCCTTCGGCAAGGTCTTCCTGGCTGAATGTTACAACTTGAGTCTTACCAAGGATAAGATGCTGGTAGCTATAAAGGTAAGAGACAGACGATGTGTGTGTGTGTCCATGCATGTTACATTACAATACATATCATATGGCTGACTCTTCTATTCAAAGCAACTTACAATAAGTGCATTCAACCATGAGGGTACAATCCCAGAACAGCATTAGCTTCACAAAGCCAAACTACAAGTGCTACATGTAAGTGCAATNCTACAACTGCTGCAACAACTGCTGCAACAACTACAACAACTGCAACTCTTCCAACAACTACAACTGCTGGCCCAACAACAATTTCCACCTCTGACACAACTACAACTACTGCAAGTGGCACCTGTTGTATCAGACTGGGTATGATCCATCTGCTGATTGGACTCCTTGTCTTTACCCTCTATTAGAAGAAAAGAAAGGAAAAAAATGGGGGAAAGACCACAGAAGACACCAGAAAGACTGAAAGAACCCTTTGAAGCCTAATGTTGGGGTTTACTCACTGCCATCTTTAGTTAGTAATTACAGGGGCAAAAAGAAAATCTAAATTTAGGAAAGGGAGATGGAGTCCAGGGGAAGATGATGTGGGTTAACAAGGCACCAATGCAATAGACACATAGGCTTCAACACACAACAAAGGTGACACAACCTTCTGTCACAGCTTTAATTTTCTTGATACATATTTGCTTTGATTTTCTCTCAAACCTCTGTGTATTGCAAATGGACTGAATGCTCTGACATTATATATGTTATTTTATTACAATGACGGAAAAAAACTGTCCTCATTTTAAAGACAAAATGTTGTTTATTACTCTGACTTGAATTGGACTGTAAGTCATCTGTTGAATGTAAGAATATAAATCCACTTAAAGTTATAATTATCATAATTTTATACTGACATCTCGACAGTCACACAGAACACGTTCAAAAGAAGTTGCCAGCCGATAACAGTGTTCTTGTAACCAGTGATATAGCGACTGTTAACAAGGTACATAGGACTTACAGCACTATCTCATTATAAACAAATGTTTGTGCATAATGAAGTCCACACAAAATACATTTTCATTCAAGATACCAATTAAGATACCAATCCTGCTCTCGCTCCTCTTGTCTCTCTGCTGCGAGCGCACTGCATGATGGTATATGTTGCTCAGTTGGTGACCATTAGTTGTACAATACTTTCATGATGCATTGTAGAAAACAATGAGTGCACTGTACTTACTGACATTGACACAATTAGTTCACTAATTTGGACACCACTACAAAATTGCTAAATCACTATATAGTGATTAGTGAGAGATTTTGGACACAGCATAGGAAACCCAGCATGAAGGTGAGGGAGGACAAATATAACAGGCAAGTCACTTGTACATAAAGAATATCTGAATAAATGCTTGTGAACTAAAGCTCTGTGTCTTGAGGTAGTGTCCAACAACTGGTTGTTGACTCTGTGTATATGTAAACAAGAGCAAAATTAAATTATTTTACTGCTGGTGAATGCTAGCTTAACATGTTAACATGATGGCTAATGCTACAGCTAATGAAAGTCAGGATCCATCCCCTGGAGACCACCAATGGCTTTACCTTCACGACGATCAATCAAGTAAAGATATTTCAGAGGAAAGTGGTGTAACCAACACACTGACACGATCATCAACATGAGCAATGCCATAATTAAAGAGATATTCAAAGAGCCTGCTTCTCCAGCCTCCACCTGTTTGTCATTTGCACTGTATATTCACCCTCAAGGGTCTTTGTCTATGATAATGTCTGTGGATTCTCAGCACATTTCGTGGCACGAAGTCACAGGATGAGCTAACATCAATTACTACAGAGAAGTAGAAGGGTGCTGTTGTCTTTTTTTTAATGATTTTTATTGGTCATTCTAACTACATTTGTTTCCCTTTACATGATCCACTAAGATGAGATGGAAAACAAGTGTGTTCTTTAAATATTGTGGAATCCCCAGGTCAAGCTGTTTGCTGGGATCCTGTAGACATCTTGAAGGGTTCCTGATAAACAGCTTTACTGGCTGATTCCCACCTGCATGTGAGGACAGATTTGTCTCAAATAAATGTTGGTACATCTGCAATTGTAAATTTAATGGAATAAAAACTCAAAAAGTCAAAGTGGGAGGGCAAACTGCTCCAAAGAGAATTCATGAGATCTAAAAAGATGGTATCAAATATTTGAGCGGACTGAGTCAGGAGAATGTGTCAATCAATCTGTGAATGAGTCAAAGTGCTTAAAGCTTTCAGAAAGTTTGTGTATAATCTGAAAAACTGCTCTGCTGCAAGAAACTGTCTCTTAATTTATCTTAACTTACATAACTGCAACAACTTAATAAAACACACACTAGCTATGTCTCCATCAACATTTTAAAACACATTTTGAGGTTTTGAAATAAAAAAGGTTGATGAAAAGGGAAACTCACAAAACATTTTAGACAGTCTTTGCTTTTTTAGATGAAAAGTTAGTGCACAACTACTTTCAAATACCTTCTAATGTAGTAACCAATTCATATGCCAGATCTCCTATTTCTGCTCCTAGAAAAAAAGTGGCTGTTTCCAGAAACCCTCTCTATATTTCTCGGCCAATGTCCCTACACTTAGAAATTCTGAAATTACCTATAGAGTTTAAAATCACCCAGAAGTCAGACAAATGGTTTAATTACAGCATGAAGGGTTAGGGTTAGGGTTTTTCTGACTGATATATGGACAGAGAGATGGACCAGTCAACTAATCAGCTCACACACCTGGGTAATGAGGCCCTCCCATCCCTTGCAACAACATGACTCAACTGTACTCATACGTTTTCATGCGGATGCTGTTGTTTATAATTTGCTCTTGAAGACCTAGTAGACTGAGGAGGATCAATCCTTGTGTAGTTGTTACTATCAAATCAGTATACTGCACATTAAAGGTGATATATTTTAGTTTCTGTTAGAAATGTTTAACTATGTCATAATTGATCATTGATGTTGATAATATTATAAGACAGACCTTAAATTCTATCCTAGAAACAACAACTGGACTGTCGACGTGCAAAAGCTAAACTTTGGTCTACACTTGGCTTAAAAATATGTTTACTGTATGTTGGCTATTTTCAAGTGTGGATTCAGAAAAGATCTATAACACTACAAACCACTACTCTCTGCAGCCCATTGTCTCCCAATATAACTTCGGTGGCGTGGAATAGTAGCCATCCATATAAGTGTATCCATATCGGTGTCCTTGAGTGACAGAAAGGCGCCTTTGAAATAAAATGTATTANGTAGACAATTGTTATTAGACATCATCTTCTTATCCAAGGTGTATTTGAAAGATATGTCTATAGTCTGCGGTGGAAGATTTGTAGACTTTCTGCTGTCTTAATGTCAATGGAGAGCTCGTTCCACCATTTGGGAGCCAGGACAGCAGACAGTCGTGATTTTGTTGAGTGGCTAGGTGTCCCTTGCAGTGAGGGAGCAGCAAGCCGATTGGCAGTTGCAGAGCGGAGTGGATGAGCTGGGGTGTAAGGTTTAACCATGTCCTGGATGTAGACTGGGCCTGATCCGTTCGCAGCATGGTACACAAGTGAAATGAATGTGAACAGGTCACTTAATATTTTTTTCCGTCCCATAGTCTCTCACTCTATCTCTCTCTCTCACCCCATGTCTATTTCTTCTCTCCACTCTTTTCCACCCATCTCTTTCCATCCACATTGAGTCTGGCTCTGCTAGACGTTTCTTCCAGTTATTGAGGGAGTTTTTTCTCTCCACAGTCACCAAAGTGCTTTGTGGAAAGTCATTGTGAAAACTGTTGGGTTTCTCTTAAATTTTAGAGGTCTTAACCTTCTATGTAAAGTACCTTGAGATAATGTACATTATGATTTGGGGCTATACAAATAAACTGAATTGAATTGAATATGATAACTCCTGCTAGTTCCTGTCAGCACTCATGCTGATGCATTTTAGACCCACTGTAGGCTTTTCACAAACTTACTGGGACATCCTGATAATAAAGAATTGCAATAGTCTTGTCAAGAAGACATTTTTGGACTATTCTCACAGCATAATTTTGTGACAGAATGTTTCTAATTTTCATAATATTGCACAGGTGGAAGAAAGCTGTCCTAAAGACTTGTTTTATATGTTGGTCAAATTACATGTCCTGGTCCAACTTCACCACTAGATGTCACTAAATTATGCACACAGAACCTTTAAACCATCCTAGTGCTGTTCATTTCATCCCAACATGTTGCTTTAGTCTCAGAATCTTGTCAGCTTTTGTGTGCAGCATAAAGATCCAGCACACATTGTCATTCACACATTAAGAAAGTGCAGCGTTTTCTCAATGTCATATCACTGACACATCACTTGCACATTTGTCAGGGGTAAATTGGGGTTCAGTGTCTTGTCAAAGGACTCTTAAGCCTGAGAATTGAGGAGCCTGGGATCAAACTACTGACCATCTGGTTAGTGGCTGTGGCTGAGGGGTAGAGCAGTCATCTTCTAACCAGAAGGTCAGTAGTTCAATCCCCAGCCTTCCCATCTGCATGCCAAAGTGTCCTTGGGCAAGATGCTGAATCCCAAATTGCCCTATAGAACAAAAAAAGTGCTGCACTGTGTGAATGGGTGAATGGCAAACTGTACTGTAGAGCACTTTGAGTGGTCATCAAGACAAGAAAAGTGCTATATAAATACTAAACAATTTACCATATCCCCATTTCCCTTTTATACTGCAGATGTTAAGGTACAGCAGACTATGCTGTTGACCCATGACTACAGCAGGAGTACACTGCAGTATCGATACAGGAAGGACATCATGGCTACCAACCCTTGATCCAGTCATCAATTGTTCATGTTATCTTTCTTTCTCTCCAGACTCTGAAGGATCCCACTCTTGCAGCCAGGAAGGATTTCCAGCGTGAGGCTGAGTTGCTGACAAACCTCCAGCATGAACACATAGTGAAGTTCTACGGAGTGTGTGTGGATGGAGACCCACTCATCATGGTCTTTGAGTACATGAAGCATGGAGATCTCAATAAGTTTCTCAGGTGAGTTCAGCAGACAACAGGCGCAACAACAGTTGGTGGAAGAGGAGGTGAGCAGATTTGGAATTGAGTGTTGACAGACCTTTCTCACAAATGTACTCTGCATAGTAAGATAGAGGCCTTCAAAACTTTAGAGTAACCCAACTGTACCCTAAACAAGCAAGCACTTTGGAGACTGAGGAGAGAAAAAAACTCCCTCTGGAACTGGAAACCAGACTCACTATGGGCAGCCATCAGCCATCACCTTCTTTTGCAGAGGGGCAACACTTTCAATGGTTGTTCATAATGTGGCTGCTGTGCTATTTACATAGTCATCGATAGGCATGGTAGTGACTTTTTGATAACTTTCATGTATTGTACTGACAAATGGCTGTGGTGTCAACATCAGAGGAACTTTTTTTTAAATTTGTGTATTGTATTATCTGATAAACCCTGAATATGATATAATTTGTGTCTAAAATCAGTGAGTAGGGTTATTTACATGTTAAATAAGACCAATCGAGTCTATCAGTGAATTAAATGCAGAAAAAATTAGCCACTATATTGGTGCCATGAGAAATTCACGTTGAAATCCCCTACTATGATAACTTTATCTGTGTGCCAGTAACTAACTCCGATAAAAATTNAAAAAAGTGCTAGCTATAGAAGCACTGTATGTATGAATGTGTGTGTGAATGGGTGAATGGAAAACTGTAGTGTAAAGCGCTTTGAGTGGTCATCAAGACTAGAAATACAACCATTTACCATTTAGTTAGTCTTGAGGTTAAGTTGCTGATATATAGTATGGATCAAAGTAGACTCCTAATACGTTGTCGCTATATGTTGCTACTCTGTCTCAATTGGTAGTATATTAAGACAGTGTATAAGGAGTCTATAGCCTCTTTATTTGACCCTTACTAAATRCTAATAACTTATGATCATGGCCAACTAGTGGCCTTCTAAGGATTTACCAAGAATAAACCAGTTGTTAAGCAAAAATAAGAATGTGTTCAATTAAGACCTAATACATATATGCAGATGCTTAATAAAAACCTTACTAAGCACTAATAGATATCCTTATTAGTTATGTATCAATGACAAATATTGTGTTCCCTAAACTAAAGTGTTACCTAAAATTCTGTTCTAAAATACCTTATAGAAGGATTTATTGCAACAAAATCTGGCTTTGATTGCAGCCAGTGCCTCTAGTTCTCACTGCACGTTATTGAAAGAAAGACAAAGATGGAGGAAGGAAGAGAACACAAGCACATGCAGAGGCAGAGTAGCGAAGACAAAGCTGAAACTAAGGGGCAAGTGTTGTGGTCCAGAATGAGGAGAAATAGTGATAGAAAAGTGAGGAATCAAGACAGATGAAACAGAGTGCTTGATAGAGAGAAGTAGACGGAGGAGTTGATAATAGTGTTTCTGACAGAGGGAGGGAGAAAGGCGAGGTGGAGTTGCTAATAGTGTGTGTGATGCTGGTATTGATCACTCACACAGACAGAGAGGTGGGATGTGACACCATGACCTGACACTGTGTCTAATCGAAAACTAATTCCCCGTCTCCATCATCATCATCTTCATCGACATCATCACATGAACACGATGTCAGCTGTGACCGGCCTTCGTCCAGCAGCTATTATCTTTGTTAGATAATCATCATAAGGGAACATATCAAGAAAATATCACAAGTCTAACAATCTGTTTTATAACTTTTTCAACCAGGACCAACTTTTCGCACTTTAGCGTTCTATGAACACAGCTTCATCTATTCTTTTTTGGGGCCTGTGGAACATGCTCTATTTTATTTTTACACACATACAAAAAAGGCAACATCAACTTCTTGTAGTCATTACATAATCTATACATTTCTAATGTTGTCTGTAGTTCTGACCAGTGGCTCCATTAGTTATATGATATGGGAATACAATAACATCACAAAAAATAGAGTAGCAGGACACATGTGCACACACCCAACTCAGGGAAATAGATCCAATCATTAGATTCTAAAGAATATCAATGCATGTTGATATCAGAACTGCTAACCAGCGCAACCTGAGGAATAGACACAATGTGGGGTTTTCCATCTTAACAAGAACAATTTGAACCTCCTGGGAAGTTTAATATGAGGAAATGAGAGCAACTATGAAATAGGTACTGCCATATACCAATGAGGGGGCAGTGCATGGAAAGTAAAAGTATTTTTAATTAAATTAATTAAATATGAAACAGTATCTTTAAATGAGTGGTGGGAAATTAACAGATGGCAGATAAAGCTGAGGTCAGTGAAAGGGGCAGCATGCTATGCTGATGTAGCCGGAGGCTTTCTTCCTCCCGGCCACGGTGTGGCGCTAGGTTAATTGCTGGGCGGCGCCAGTCGACCGCTTATAACCGGGTGAGCGGTCACACCACGCTCTTTCCTTTCCACCCTTTGATCCCTCGGGTGGTGGCTGCGGCGTGGCTGTGGCGTGGCTGCGGCGTGGCTGCGGCGTGGCTGCGGCGTGGCTGCAGCGTGGTGTGGTAGGCTCAAGCACACATCCCCTATACATACAGGTACGGTAGCGCACTTCCTCTTTATCCATGATCAGCGCAATGTGCACAGTGGTGACACCGACTTCCAACTCTTACAGGACGACGAGTGGCTGACTATATCGGCGGTCCCGCTTGGAGCTCTGTTGGGGTTGTAGTTYGTGTCCGCAGGTAGGCTGGCGTTATCTGCCTGTTTGGTTTTGTTGTGTCGCTGGGTCYTCTGCTGACTGTCGCTGGTGCGCTTTCTGTCCGCAGCGTCTCCGTGTCTTGGGTGCAACACTCTTGCCCATCGGCGCACGGGAAAGGGATGCAGGCAGGGGTGTGGTGTGTCTAGTGCCACCGCCCCCTGGAATCAGTCCTGCTGTTTTGGCTCTGGGTTATTCTGACGGGACAGCTCCGACACCATTCGTTTTAATCACCATTATATTAAATTGTTTTATTTGGTTTTGTTCATTTCTATCAGTTTATCTTATTTTGTTATTATTGATTTGGACTGTGTGCATGCGTGTGCATGCAGTTAATGTGTTAATTAGTAATCATTGTTTATTTCTGTTATTTCTATTAGGCATTATTTTTAAGCACTTATGGTATTATTTTAACTTTTCCTTTTGTGTTGGACAGGTGCTGTGGGCCCCCAGCGGCAGCCCAGATTCCCTGGTGGTGGTGTTCATCACGATCCCTTTTTTAGTTGGTGTGCAGTGTCACGGGTGTCTAAGTTGTGATCCCTTTTCCCTTTTTTTTGCCCCAGCCCTGTCCTTCTTCCTTATTTTCCCCCGTAGTTAATGTTTATTGTTTAGTTTTGTATTGTACAATATAAATTTTAATTGTAATAAAAATATATTTTTATATGGAACGATCTCTGCCCTCTGTGGATAATTGGACGTGTGCGACCTTACTTATTAATTCATTTATTTCCTAGGGGTGAAATTCCCCTAGGTGGCGTTGTTGAGCAAAACCATAACCCAGTCTGCCACACTGAGGAGAGTCTAGGGGCGCAAACAGCAATAGTGACAGACCTGAATCATCTTTGATACCAGCATGAAGCAGCTGAAGGGGCTGAAGCAGCTACGACTGAGGAGCGTAGTGGTCCCAAGCTGTTTGAATTGATAGCACATGCTGCAGAGGTCTTTGCCGTCAGGAAACTCTAGAGTTGTTGAAGCCTGAACAGATGAACAATGAGCTAAAACTCACTGCTAAGGTCTATAGAGGCTCTATCTCTCTGTTACCTGTCTGTCTCCATCTCTCTATTACCTGTCTATCTGTCTGCTGTCTGTCTGTCTCTGCAAACGGTGTCTCTATCTCTCTTCTACCTGTGTCTCCATCTCTCTATTACCTGTCTGTCTCCATCTCTCTATTACCTGTCTGTCTCCATCTCTCTATTACCTGTCT